GGAAACAAATGAAAATGCAAACACAACGATTCAAAATCTATGGGATGCGGCCAAGGCAGTCCTAAGAGGAAAGTACATTGCTCTCCAGTCCTATTTCAAGAGATTAGGAAAAACCCAAGTCCAAAATCTAACAGCTCACCTAAAGGAACAAGAGGCAGAGCAACAAGAATGCCCTAAACCCAGTAGAAGAAGAGAAATAGTAAAGATTAGAGCAGAAATAAACAACATAGAGACCAAAGAAACAATTGAACAGATCAATGAAACCAAGAGTTGGTTTTTTGAAAAAGTAAACAAAATTGACAAACCTCTAGCCAGGCTTATCAAAAAGAAAAGAGAGAGCACCCAAATAGACAAAATTATGAATGAAAATGGACTTATTACAACCAACCCCTCAGAAATACAAGCAATTATCAGGGAATACTATGAAAAATTATATGCCAACAAATTGGACAACTTAGAAGAAATGGACAAATTCCTAAACACACACTCACTACCAAAATTCACACGGGAAGAAATAGAAAACCTGAACAGACCCATAACGAGTGAAGAAATCGAATCAGTGATCAAAAATCTCCCAACAAATAAGAGCCCTGGACCTGATGGTTTCCCTGGGGAATTCTACCAGACATTTAAAACAGAATTAATCCCAATTCTTCTCAAGCTATTCCAAAAAATAGAAGTCGAAGGAAAACTCCCGGACTCATTTTATGAAGCCAGCATCACTCTGATTCCCAAGCCAGACAGAGATCCAACAAAAAAAGAGAACTATAGGCCAATATCCTTGATGAATACGGATGCAAAAATTCTCAACAAGATCCTTGCAAATCGAATCCAGCAGCATATCAAAAGAATCATCCACCAAGATCAAGTGGGATTCATTCCTGGGTTACAGGGCTGGTTCAACATTCGCAAATCAATCAATGTGATCCATCATATCAATAAAAGAAAAGATAAAAACCATATGATCCTGTCAATAGATGCAGAAAAAGCATTTGACAAAATACAGCATCCCTTCTTAATAAAGACTCTCGAGAAAGTTGGGATAGAAGGAACCTACTTAAACATCATCAAAGCCATCTATGAGAAGCCTTCAGCTAACATCATCCTCAACGGGGAAAAACTGAGAGCTTTCCCCCTGAGATCAGGAACACGACAGGGATGTCCACTCTCACCACTGTTGTTTAACATAGTGCTGGAAGTCCTAGCATCAGCCATCAGACAACAAAAGGAAATCAAAGGCATCAGAATTGGCAAAGAGGAAGTCAAACTTTCACTCTTCGCAGATGACATGATACTCTACATAGAAAACCCGACAGACTCCACCAGAAGCCTACTAGAACTGATCCAAGAATTCAGCCAAGTTGCAGGGTACAAAATCAACGTACAGAAATCGGTTGCATTTTTATACACCAATAATGAAGCAACAGAAAGAGAAATCAAGAAACTGATCCCATTCACAATTGCACAAAAAACCATAAAATACCTCGGAATAAACCTAACCAAGGATACAAGAGATCTGTATGATGAAAACTATAGAAAACTTATGAAGGAAATTGAAGAAGACACAAAGAAATGGAAAAACATTCCATGCTCATGGATAGGAAGAATAAATATAGTTAAGATGTCATTACTACCTAAAGCACTCTACACATTCAATGCAATTCCAATCAAAATTGCACCAGCATACTTCTCAAAACTAGAACAAACTATCCAAAAATTTGTATGGAACCACAAAAGACCCCGAATAGCCAAAGTAATACTGAAAAATAAAACCAAAACGGGAGGTATCACCATCCCAGACTTCAGCCTCTACTACAAAGCTGTCATCCTCAAGACAGTATGGTATTGGCACAAAAACAGACACATAGACCAATGGAACAGAATTGAGAACTCAGAAGTGGACCCAAAAGTATACAGCCAACTGATCTTTGACAAAGCAGGAAAGAATATCCAATGGAAAAAAGACAGCCTTTTTAACAGATGGTGTTGGGAGAACTGGACAGCAACATGCAGAAGAATGAAACTAGATCATTTTCTCACACCATGCACAAAAATCAACTCAAAATGGATAAAGGACCTGAACGTGAGACAGGAAACTATCAACACCCTAGAGGAGAAAGCAGGAAACAACCTCCTTGACCTCCACCGCAGCAACTTCTTACTTGACACATCCCCAAAAGCAAGGGAATCAAGAGCAAAAATAAACTGTTGGGACCTCATCAAGATTAAAAGCTTCTGCACAGCCAAGGAAACAACCCAGAAAATTAATAGGCAACCAACGGAATGGGAAAAGATAGTTGCAAATGACATATCAGATAAAGGGTTAATATCCAGAATCTATAAGGAACTCACCAAACTACACGCCCGAAAAACAAACAACCCAGTGAAGAAATGGGCAGAAGACATGAACAGACACTTCTCCAAAGAGGACATCCAGATGGCCAACAGACACATGAAACGATGCTCAGCATCCCTCCTCATCAGGGAAATACAAATCAAAACCACACTGAGATACCACCTCACGCCAGTCAGAGTGGCTAAAATGAGCAAATCAGAGAACTCTAGATGCTGGCGAGGATGTGGAGAAACGGGCACCCTCCTACACTGTTGGTGGGAATGTAAACTGGTACAGCCCCTCTGGAAAACAGTGTGGAGGTTCCTCAGGAAACTAACAATAGAACTCCCTTATGACCCAGCAATAGCACTGCTAGGAATTTACCCAAGGGATACAGAAATGCTGAGGCATAGGAGCACATGTACCCCAATGTTCATAGCAGCACTCTCCACAATAGCTAAAACATGGAAAGAGCCTAAGTGTCCATCAACAGATGAATGGATCAAGAAGATGTGGTTTATCTATACCATGGAATACTACATGGCAATGAGAAACAATGAAATCTGGCCATGTGTAGCAACATGGATGGACCTTGAGGGTGTTATGCTGAGCGAAATAAGTCAGGCAGAGAAGGACAAATATCATATGTTTGCACGTATAGGATTAGGAGGAACTTAACTGAGGAACAAGGGGGAGAAGAAGGGGGGAAATGGTGGGGGAAAGGGAGAGAGGCAAACCATGAGAGACTCTTGAATGCTGACAAAAACTGAGGACTGATGGATGTGGGGGGGGGAGGGTGGGATGGGCATGGAGGAGGGCACTTGTGGGGATGAGCACCGGGTGTTATATGGAAACTAACTTGACAATAAACTATTTGTAAAAAAATAATAAAAATAAAATAAAATTAGAAATTACAGGGATTAAAGTTTGATCTTAATAGTAAATTAAAAGAATTTGAAAAGACTAAAATCAAATATTAAATTAAAACTATTTTCTTGGAAGTAAAATAAAAGTCACTCTTCAATATGATGAAAGGAAGTTGACAGTAAAATATCATAGTTTAAGAAAGTCAAGGAAAGGAATCCCAGATTACTTTAAAAAAGATTATACATAGTGCTGCTGAATAATTTTGAGAACCCTTCTCCAGCAAGTATGTGGAAATTACCTGCAAGACAACTGGCTACAATTGATATTGTCAATTTGTTCATAGCATGGATTCCAAGTACTGAACACCTGAAGCTTGCATTCAGCTGACAGAGAGGCACACTTCACTGAAGTGGCATTGGAATACAAATAAATTGGATACCACTTAGAGACCCGAAGTGCCACTGTGAGATGAAAGGCAAACCCCACTGAAAGTGACAGCAATATTTTCTTTTCTAGCTAGGGAAAATATATACGAAGAAGATGAGAGACCTTTTTAATGGAATAAAGAAAAATGATACTGCTTCTATAACCCAAGCACCACAGTTCTTAATACAATTCAGTAAATGCCTCAAAATAGAAGTACATTAAACTTCAAGGCAATCAGAGCACTAGATTGTCACAATGTGGTAAAACTAGTGATATCCAAAGCTGGCAAAGACACCTATTGGAACTATGAAGCATCAAACATCTTAGAGTCATTTGACAGTCTCTCTGACATTGCATATTGAATTGAACGTGTTGTCAGCCTCCCTGAATTCTTTTTGTGTTTCAAAATATGCTGAATGATAGATTTCTACTCTTCTTAATAAATTTTAAGTTAATTGATCTCAAGACACTGACTTCACCTCAAACTTAAGAAGCCTGACATTTTACACCCATAAGCCATAGCCTGCTAAATAGTCTCACAGAAATGCGCACTTCACTTTTAAACTAATCAAGGATGTCTTGCTCATTTCTCAAGACATAGTGGCATATTAAATCTCTAAAGGTTTAGCCATTAAGCTTTTCAGATATAGGAGTCTCAAGTAGTTGGCAGGAATGGCATATTAGCTACAATAAAATAAATCTCATTTGAGTTTTGTTAAATGGGAATGTGTGATTATAGCTTTAATCATCGAAATTTCATATAGCTATTTTTTATACATCCATTGTCTTATTTGACATAAAGCACATATATATTTATATACTTTTATTTATATAAAGACTTATATAATATATCCCTTATAAATATTCTACGTGTACATTTTTAAAGTGCTATTCCTATAGATATATACTTGTGTGTGTGTGTGTATATATGTGTGTGTGTGCATGTGTGTGCCATATATATATTTATATATATCAAGATAATCTTAACAGTTTGCCTGACTAGCTTTCCAATATGGAAACAAATCTTCTGAAGATATTGAGCATTTTTTTTATTATGTTTAAACAACATGGGCATGCACTAACATATTGTATTGTAGCAATAATTACTCAATTCTTACAACTACCAGTGATACTATTTGTTTTTCTACTCCTAAGTTTTATGTGTCTGAGCTCTATGTGTACATAAGAATGTGTTGACTGAGTCTCACTCAGACTGGGAAATTTAACTTTCATGAACTTTAAGACCATCTAAAGTTTACAAATACATCTCTACCTGCTAATACCCAAATGAAGACAGAATACTCATAAAAATTAGGCTTAGTTATAGAAATATAAAGATAAATAATTGACTATAATTGAATACTTCTTTGACAAGATGGATTTCTGGTAGTGTTTCAAGCCACTGGCTGAGGCTTCAGGGGCTGGTTGAGAGTGGTTGAGAGTGGGGGTGAGGAGGTGGCTTTCTAGACTTCTCAGATCACAAGTCCCAGGCAAGCAGCCACTTACTCCATCTACAGAAGAATAGAATACACATCCTGTTCTTTGGCTGTTTATCATGCCTCAGGACTGCTAAAATTAGGATCCCCTCATATAAATGCTTCATAGTAATTTTCTCACATTGCTTTTTTACTCCAGTTCATTTTTCATTATTGCATATTACGAAGAAAGAGATTTGTTACACACCAAAATCTCAGTCATAAGATCATCACTAAATAGTAACTTGACCTTGATAACTTTGTGTTTCTAATTTTTATTTTTTGCTAAATAAGATCCAACTAGCCATAGAAAAATTTTGCCTAGTGTAAAGATTCTTTGATTATAGCAGGGTTTTAAGTGAAGAATAAAACATTTAGAAATCCAATATAAAGTCTATGGAATAGAGACAAGTTATATGGACACCTATTCCTATTTATCTATCTATCTATCTACCTATCTATCTATCTATCATCATCATTATCATCATCATCAAGATCATCATCATTAGCATCATCATCATAATCATCCCTTTAGAGATATATCTATATATCCACACAGATATGGAAAATGCATGGAAAAAAGTGTTACCTCTATCCATATGTAATCCCATTTCCTTCTGTGTATGAGTTTGTACAGGAATTGGGAATTACATATGGATGAAGGTAACTCTTATGGGAAGCTGGATTTTTAATACATCTCATGTTGACTACTAAGTATGACTTAGCATAACATAAAAGATAATAAATTAGTTTTTGGTTCAATGCAATTCTATTTTGTTTAACCCATCCTGTCACATCTTATACCTATTAAAAGAACACATATAAGGAAAGTAAATTGCTTTTGACATTTTAACACATATGAAGCACAGGGAAGCCTAGAATATAGCATAGTACCTCCATTTTCTCCCCACCTTCTCCTAGGTCTTTTCTTTACCACTTAATTGTCTTTTTTTCATTACAGGATTTTTCTTCTAGCTCCTTGCTTCTCCTCACTTTACTCATTCAATTGCCTTCTATTGAGATTTTGAGGCAAGGTGAAAAGAAAACTCAGCGACAAGGAAATAGAAGGAAAGTCAACTTCAGAACAAGAGTAGAAATAGCCTTTGACTACTACCTTTTCTGAGAAAGGATAATACAAAAGAGAAAGTGAATGCTCCTAATTCAATGGACTGGGACATAAGCACTTGAATCTTTGGGAGTACACTGCAATAATGCTTGCTAGAAAAACCACCTGTTTTGGAAGCAGTGCTACTAAGTTCCTTCACAGTGGAAGACAAATATTGCCTGGTGAAGATTTGCATATATTACCAAGACCTGTTAGTCATGCAGATCATATTATTTCCTCCCTCTGTGCTTTTGACATAAAGATACATCAGCTAACCAGTTGATATGGTGTCATACGGGGCCCCTATTGGATCTCTTAGGGTGCTTAAAAATAATTAGGGCCCATTTCAGATGAAGAAAATCAGAATCTCCATAGTGACTTCACTATTAAAATAAACCTCTACAAATAATTCTATTCTGTGGCTATGAGCATAAGAAGGAAAAATAGTCTTGTGTTAAACTAAGTCTTCCAAATTCCTGTGGTGAAGTAAGTAATATAATTACTTAATAATTTTACTACTCCACAGCATACTCTTAAAATGAAAGGATGGGTATTTATTTAATAAACTGCTACCCAGAACCCCCTTTCCTCCAGCAGCTAATCTATCTACATAGGTTATAGTTCTAAGCACAATAGCCCGAGAACATTGTTTTCCAACCACACAGCAAAATACCTGACCCATTGTGTTTTCTGAATAGCAGAAAGAGACAGAAAAGGCAGAGTGACCTGATCACCAAATGAAATTTTTTATAGGAGACTGATTAATGGGGTATATTGGGTGATGTTTCTTACCAATTTTCTCAGTCAGGTTAGTTCACTTTTCCCAAGCAATAAAGAAAATGGTTTGAAGGAGAGAGAGGAAGCTGGTGTACTACTTGAATAGCATTTCACATGAAAGTCCTTTCTAGAAGTGTGAGGACAAGGAAGGGGGGTGATGAGCATGGAGGAGGGCACTTGTAGGGATGGGCACTGGGTATTCTATGGAAACCAACTTGACAATAAACTATTAAAAAAAAAAAAAGAAGCATGAAGACAAGGGAATAAAGGGTCTAAATTTCATTACTGTGTTGGATCTCAACCCAAAATTACTATACGAAGTGTCAGCAGGTAGAAATGGGCATCTGTATCGCACTCAAGTTCATACAGTTTAAAAAAACTAATTTTAATTAGAATAACATTTTCCCACTTTTGTTCTAAAGTAGTGATACTGTTAAATGTAAAGACTTAATAATATAAAAATGATTTAAAAGTTTCTCAAATGTATCCTAAGGAAATTATCAGATATTGATTCATATTATTTAGTGCATGTAATTTATAATTATGAAACAAAGAAAATAATCTTTCTCCAACATGAGAGAACAGTGAAAAATAAGTCATATCAATATAATGGAATATTATGCTACTATTCTAACTGTGTTTCAGAATATTTAATAACATGAAAAACTTTCATGATACTTTTAAAAGAAAATACAGGGGCGCCTGGATGACTCAGTCAGTTAAGCATCCAACTTCAGCTCAGGTCATTATCTCAGTTTGTGGGTTCGAGCCCTGCATGGGGCTCTGTGCTGACAGCTAGCTCAGAGCCTGAAGCCTGCTTCAGATTCTGTGTCTCCCTCTCTCTCTGACCCTCCCCTGCTCACACTGTCTCTCTCTCTCAGAAATAAATAAAAAAACATTTAAAAAATTTATTAAAAAAATACAAATTAAGTAGCACGTAGAAGATGTTCCTACATTAGCACATACTCTCTGTATATACACATATATGCATACACATATACATGCACACATGTATTATACATACCTACACACACATATACATATTATATTAGATTTCTATTTCTGCTATAACAAATTACCACAATCTTAGTGGCTTAAAATAACACAAGTTTATGTTATTGTTCCATTCACTGAAAGTTCAACACAATCTCATTAGATTAAAATTGAAGTGCCAGTTGGCTTGTGTTCCTTTCTGGAAGCCCTAGGGAGGAATCTGTTTTATTGCTTTTTCTAGCTTTTGAGTGGTCTGCTCTGCTTGGCTTGTGATCCCCTTTCCTCTGCCTTCAAAGCTAATAATTACACTTTGTGTCCTTCACATATCACATCATCCATCTCTTTCTGCCTTCATATCCTTTTCTTAAAAATTTTTTAATATTTATTTTTGAGAGAGAGCACATAAGAGGGAGAGGGTAGACACAGAATCTGAAGCAGGCTCACAACCAGGTTGTGAGCTGTCAACACAGACCCCAATGTGGGATTGGAACCCACAAACTGTGAAATCACGACCTGAGCCAAAGTTGGACACTTAACCCACTGAGCGTCTCAAGGCGTCTCTCTACCTCCATATTCTTTTATATCTATATATATATATTTTTTAATGTTTTATTTATTTTTTTCAGAGAGACAGACAGTGTGAGCAGAGAAGGGTCAGAGAGAGAGGGAGACACAGAATCTGAAGCAGGCTCCAGGCTCTGAGCTAGCTGTCAGCACAGGGCCCAACACGGGGCTTGGACCCACAAAGTATGAGATAATGACCTGAGCTGAAGTCAGAGGCTTAACTGACTGAGCCACCCAGGTGCCCCTCTGCCTCCATATTCTTAAGGACTCTTGCCATTATATCACGCCCACCTGGATACTCCCTATTTTAAGGTCACCTGACTAGCAAACTTAATGCTATGTGCAGTTGAATTCTCGCCTCGCAACCAACCTATCACATTCCAGGTTCCTGGCATTAAACTGTGGGAATTTTTGGACTGCCATTATTCTGCTTATCATACACATGCTTATACATGTACATGAATATATACACATGTATGTAAAGAGAAATATTCTAAATACGTATGTCATAACATTAATATTAGGTGGCTAAATTATAGTGTTTTACTTTTTTCATTATATGTCTGTTAACTAGATATTGTATAATAAAATATAATTGGAAAAAAAGTCAAATAAATACTATTTTTTCATACAAGCCTCTGAATTATATTTTGCTACTCATTTACTAGATATTTTCAAGACAAATATCATACACTGAAGTTTATAACTTGAGTATTTAAAAAGTAATTTATTTTAAAAGTTGATGGTGCACTGAGTGAACATCACATGCTCAGAGGCTTAGGAAAGTGGCCAACCAGGAGAGAAGATCTGGCCTTCTCAGCCATTGATTTCTGCACAATCAATTGACTCGGATCATGCAGTTAATCCAATTCAGTAGTTAAGAAAATTGAAAAGACCAGCTGTGTGATTTTTAGGTCCAGTATTTTTTTTCCTAAGAGACACAGAAAGCAATGTCATTTTGCTAGCCTTTCCAGAGATTCACAAAGGTGAAAAACTAACCAAAAAAACCACGACATTTTGCCCTCTGCTGTGAAATAATATTTTCTAGAGATGATAATAAATATATATCACCTAATTCTCATGACAACCCCATACAAGCAGAAAAGGCTAAATTAATATTATAATCAGTGGACCATACTAAAGTTCTATGAATGTTTAGCTGAAGAAAAATAAATTTAAGTCAAAGTAAAAGCAATCTAGAACAATCTTAGCTTGTTGAAGCATTTAAAAATACCTTTTCCCATCTGAAATCAAATAATCTCATTTGCTCTTAAAAAAGAATAAATAAAACAAGTCAAACTTTGAATGCCAGTAAGTATTAGGGTGATAAATTAGGTCTATATGTCACTCTTAATTATGATTTAATGAATAACTATATTCAAACATAATGCAAAAATAAATAAATAATCACATTCTTTTATTCTCTTAATACACAGAAAATGTCTCAATTAGGTACTGCGCTCAAGAACAAATACTAACTACTATTGGAATCCTAACTAGTTTGCTCTTTGTAAAATTAATCCCTTTTAAACCATAAAATAAGACCTTTACTGCTCTCTACATTCTTACTAATTGCACAGTACTTCATAGGCTCTTGTTGAACTGAAGAAGAAAAATTAGTCAAGAAAAGGTCACTTTCTCTTCTTACTGGTTATATGCTAATTAGGCATACAAGGAGCAACTTGTAAGGTGATAGAATATTTGAACTGTGGTAGATAAGAAATGATTAAAAAAAAAAAACCACAGATGGAATGCGGAACATGGGAAGAACATGAGGGTTTATCACAGCTGAGAAGGTTTAGTTTCCATTTGAAGCCTTGGTTCCTTCCCTAGGATGCATGGTAATTTGTGGTTCCCAATCACTTCTTCTTCACTTTTAGAACATACCTCCTGTTTTACTGCTTTTATTAAGATCATTTGACATAAGCTTTCTATACTATCCATTCACCTACCTGAAAATTTTCCATTTGTGGTCACCTAATTCCTACTGTAGCAAACAGGGAAGGTCACTTTGATTTTCTAAAACAAATCTACTAAAGGCACCTCAGTGCCTCAGTCAGTTAAGCATCCAACTCTTGATTTAGACCCAGGTCATAATTTCACGGTTCATGGGGCTCTGTGCTGACAGTGTAGAGTCTCTTGGGATTCTCTCTCTCTCTCCCCTGTCTCCCCCTGTCCCCTCCTGCTTATGCTCTCTCTCTCTCTCTCCCAAAATAAATAAGTAAACATTTTTTTAAATAAAATAAAAGATGAAACAAATCTTCTACCTGGATTAAACACACTTTGATGACCTTAAAGCCTTCAGTCCACCAAATACACCATATCATTAGGGTCACCATATAATCACTCAACCAGTAGAGCTGCACTATTCAATATAGTAGCCACTGGCCATTTAATTGATTTAAATTTAAATTCAGTAAAATCAATTCAGTTATACCAGTCACCTTCAAGTACTTGATAACTAAATTGATTGGAATCTATCATATTAGATAGTCTGCATATAGAACAGTTCCATTGTCAAAGAAAGTTCAAATGGGCAGTGCCATGGTGGGGAATAAAATTGGGAACTACAAATAATAGTTCTAGGTTAACAAGTATTAACTGTCACTAGCAAACCAGGACATATGAGCATCCTACTTATATTCAACTTTTCTCTTTATTGCCTCCTTTTCTTCTGTCTGCAGGTGCCAAAATTTTCCTTTATTAAAACAAAATGAACATTACAACACCAGCCGACACACCCCAACACTGATCCTAACACTAAATATGTAACCAATTAAGTAAGAAATGAAAATTAACCAAGTGGTTGCAAAGGGCAGACCAGACTGCACTCACCTGCTTGGCAGGCTGGCTCCAAGACAAAGCCAGATGGAATTCAGCTAGGTTTCTTCAAAATTCACCAACTGGAGAAGTCATTTCTCCCCTTTGGTATGAGTGGGTAATGCAAAGAGGAATCAGAAGTGATGCTCTACTCCAGCTGAAGTCCCTCTAGAAGAAAGCATGTTTTTCATGAAACAGGGCCCAGTATTGTGCATAACAGAGAAGGTGTCCAGTGATTATTCACTATGATTTTTACTATCAGTGTTCCAGGAAAGGCTAAGGACCCTGAGGTCAAGGCCATGTCTAATCACCTCTTAAGCTCACACTACCTTGGCACCTGGCACTAACAGATGCCCTGGAAGGGTTGGTTCATATGTGAAGGAAAGGAAAAACACTATTATTCCCATGCCTTTATTCTGATGGTTTGAAATAATAGACTGGTAAGAACATTGAAACATGTACTGAGAAACCTGAATTCTAATCTACCTCTGTCTTCTTCGTTGGTTATTTGGCCTTAGCAAAGCCACTTAATTTTTTCCCTAAGATATGGTGCTAAATCTAGCAGCCCTGCTACATCTTTCACAAGAATAAGATGAATTGATGGATGTGAAAGTATCTTGAGAAATACGTAAAATGTATGATGCAATGCTAGAAAATCCACAGGTCTGCTTTTCAAATTCAAAAAAAAAGGAGGCTGCAGCATGTAGTTTCTTTACATTGGTGTGTCTTAGCTTATTCTCAGACTCTAATGTGAGTCATATCTCTGCTCAACCATCAATTCTATGAACAAAAAAACTTGTATGATTCAAGGTAGTACAAAAATAAGTAAAACTTTATTTCCTTCTATTTTTCCAAATTGTCAAAAGTGATTATTTGCTTCTCTTTTAAAAGTGGAAGTACCGGGGCACCTGGGTGGCTCAGTCAGTTGAGCATCTGACTTTGGCTCAGGTCATGATTTCAAGGCTCCTTAAGTTCAAAGTCCCACATCGCTGCTGCAGTCCACAGCCTGCTTCAAATCTTCTGTCCCCTGCTCTCTCTCTCTGCCCCTTGCCCACTTATATTCTCTCCCTCAAAAATAAACAATCTTTAAAGAAATTTTAAATAAATAAAATAAATAAAAATTAAAGTACTACAAAATTTGTATATTTAAAAACAACAGTCTCCAACAGACCACTACTACCTAGAGATAAAAGTTCAACTCCACATTGTATTCAGTCAGTTCTTCTACTATCTGGGCCCAATTTCTCTTTCTCAATTTTATCTCCTCTTACACTTTTATATGTAATTTACTTTCTAAAAAACTCCATACCCTATGTTTTTCAAACACAACTAACCAATTTTTACCTCTACATTTTTGCTTATACTATCTTCTTCCTTAAATGCCATTTTACTGTGTCTGGCATTTAGCCTCCTTTTCTTCAAGATAGGTTGAATTCTGTTATTTTCATCCTTCTCTGATATTTCTATCAAAAGCTCTTCTCCCTGTCCATTTGGAACTTACATGTTGCTTTGTTTCATGTTTCTACTCCTACGTGCACCGCATTCTCACTTGCATTTGTACTCGTCACAGTGCCTAGTAGTGTGCCTTGCTCCTCCCATTCATTTTCTAAATGTTTACTTGAGTTGAAGAAACTACAGTAAAATAAATGACCCAATGACACTTGTCCCTCAGTGGTTTTGCTGGAAAGCACAAAACTACTCCCTCAGGATAGCATAATTTAGAAGAATGAAAGCACCAAACATTAGCCTGATAGTTTTTAAACTATAAAAGCCAAGAAAATCTAATAATGAATGCATCAAAAATTTGTTTTCCTGTTTCATTATTTCTCTGTTCTAGGTATTACTGATTAACTTGTAATCACCATGCTAATGAGGTCCCTTGTGGGCTACTTCACATCTTTAAACTATACCCATAAGGTGAACTGCAAGTGTGCCCCTCAATCACAATTAGAATCTAATGAAATACTTTAAATGCAGCAACCTGTTATGGCCCCCATTCCTAGAAAAAAAAATAGTTTAAAACAAATCAAAAGGGGTAAACAGGATTATATTTGCAAGGAAAAGACACTGCTTTGCTTAGTCTACGTCTGTGTGTAACATATATAAGAAGATCCATCTAAGTAACACTACTGCCTCACAAATATGATGTGAGATATTGTTAATGAGAAAAGTGATATGCTTTGATATTGTAAAATAATCATCATAATAACATAAAATTAGAAATATCCTAACAATAGCCATTAGCTACATATCACACAAAATGAAAGAGAAGAAAATATGATGCTCTGTATATAGAATATAATGAAAGAAGCAGGTTATTGTTTAAGCATAAATAAGAATAGCATCAACAAATTTTTGCACATAGATAAGCTGTCATGATAACATTTCTATCTGTGTTTTCCACAGGTTATGCCAAAGTAAGCCTCACGGTATTTGTGGCTTAAAAACACTTAGTGCCTTTGTCATCTGAACTAACATTGCATTTTCCTTAAAACATTTTACAAATGAAATATAAAAGAATGCAATAATTAAAATCCATTTAGAATAATTGGAGGCTAAAAGGTTTTTTTTTTTTAATTAAGATTTACACTGCACAACTAAGTGAATTTCACCAAAACCGTCTCAAGGGCCAAACGTGAAATCTGTTAGTTATTCCAAACTAGTCTCCAAATCCTAGTCTAGCTTACAAAGTCTTTGCCTTTCAGAAAATTTATTCACTGTGCCTTATCTTGATAATGGAAATATTCAAATAATAAAACAGTTCTCAACATAATAAAACAACTATGAGAATTCTGTACAAAATACCATGCAGCTCCTTCCCTGTGACATGTCTTTGTAAATGAGCAGTGTGCATCACCTGTTTACTTATTATTCTTACATCCATAAAATGAATATCTTATCCTAGTTGAAATGTTTTTTTAATTTCTCATTATTGAATTAGATGGGATAAAAAATTCTTAGACAGCCCCATACAAACTGTCTTAAATTATTTTTATTATAATGTTCACTTAAAATATGCACATTTAACATTAATATCAATTTTTAGATGTTTGTTTACAAACTACAAAATTAATTTTTGCAAAGTAAATGCTAACAAATCTCAAAACCAGTGGAATCCAAATAAACTACCTTAATCTGATCAGATGATGATACTATTTTGTAGGAAACTCAGCAGTGTAAGCAAAGTGAATCAAGTGTTGAGGGCTCAGACCTACATTTTCCTCTGGAGGTTTTAGCGATAACCAAATCCTCTTTTTCCCTTTGAATAACTATTAAAACTTTCCTTTTAGGAATGTATCTTTGTGTCTTGACATCACCTGGTCTTAAACTGATGTAAAATTCATTTTTCACATAATCTGATCTGTTCCATCACTCATAATTCTTGACAATGTCATTTTTATTATCTGATACCAAGAAAATCTTAGTCAAAAAATGCAAACCCAGGCACCGAAATCCTATACTCTGAAGATAATGATCGAGATGCTTCAGGACACACTTATATTTTTAATACTTTTTAAGATTAAAATGAAATAACAATATAAAATGTAAAAGTTCTCAAATAAAATGCTCAGACCTGAGAAAATGATTTCAAGCACAACGTGGGTTTTCTCTGGTTTTCACAAGGAATGTTCTGCATTTTCTAACATTGAACATTACTCCAGTGGACTTCAGGATACTGTATGAAATGAGCATGTGATAAAACACGCCTCGCTGTGTCATGAGAATGGGACAAATCAAGATGGCACTTACCTGTCAGGCTTGGACAACTGAGAGAATGATGGCAGGACGTTACTAAAAAGAGAAAAACTGTTGGGGTGAAAAATGTGAAAGAGAAGGGCACGGAGTTCATGGGAAAAAATCAAAAGTCTTCAAAAAAAACTTGTATTTGAGAACTGGTGAAGCCTCCAGGTGTGGCTGCTGGTGGGTGGTCTGACATGCCAAACAGCAGTTCAGAGGACAGGCTAGCGCTCAGAGTCAAAATCCGTTTGATCCTGTCTCCAGACACATGTTAGACACATTTGCGAGAAGGAGGAAGGCTGCATATTAAACGGTAGCACTTGTAGGTGACACTTTCTGCAACGGAAGTGATTTGCTGGCTTCTGTCTCTGTCTGATCTGCATAACTTGAGCAGTAAAGGCAGAGCCCACTCGAATTGGCAAAGACCTGAAACCTTACTATCTCTCCTTCTCTCTCTCTCTCTCTCCCCACCCCCCAATTACCTTCCTTCCGACCTCCATCCATATGACTTCCTTCTATATATTGTTCAGTAGTAAAATCTAAAAAGTCAGAGGAAGTTACTCCCCAAAATGTTAGGTAAAACAGTGTACAACATCAATAGTAAAATGTTAAATTTTATACTGTCTTTACCACTTTTGATCTTCCGAACAATTTTATTGAGCAAAATAAGATAAAAGATTACATGTTTATGGAATGTAAAGGTCTAATGATTCAAACAGTAAGCAGGCTTTACTCACCTACAGCTGTTTTTATATGAAGCTATGAAAAACCAACCTGTTGAAGAAAAAGCGTGGGCACAGATCAGGTTACTAGAGTTCTCTCTGTACTGTGAGGACCCAAGCCCAGCCAACAACACTGTGGTACTTTCCTCCTGTGTGCCATTCTTCCTTGTGAATGTACCTGCCCCCGGGGAATGGTAACTGTGGTCTAGGGTGACTTTTTGATACCCGGATACCCCAATGTCATCATTATTTCTGATGACCTCTTCATTTGGTCTTACATTGAGTCTGTACCTGTCAGATGACTACCTACTTTGCTAACTGACTTGAAGAATTTAATAAATAAAACACTCACTATATATCATTTACTGTCCTTTCAGATTGTACTCTTAGTGACTATGAATACTCCACTGATTCCATTTCACTTGTAACAGATCCGGGCACCTGCTTCTGGGCTGCAGCACATCTCAGCTGTGGAGTTTTTTAAAAGCTTTAGCAACTGAAGTGCATCTTCACTATTCAATGGCATCCTTCATCTGTAAAGCCATTTACAAACTTTACTGATCAAGCTGTACATTTCTGAGTTGGAATTTAATCTACAGAGCCTTCTGCAAAATGAGCTGAATCCTTTACTAATTATGGGCAATGGTTGAATTTATTTGGTTTGCAGTAATTTGCATTATTTGCTTATTATACCCCTTGGTTCCTGCT